AGACTGACAAATGTCAGAGGGATGGAGGAGGGGGGGTGGGTGGAGGGGGAGAGAGTAACCAAAGAATTTATGTGCATATATGCACAACCCAAGGACACGGACAATGGTGGGGAGAGGGACTGGGGAGGGGGGTGGGATGGGGTGGAATGGGTCATTGGGGAGATAAAGGGACATTTGTAATATTTTAAACAAAAAATAATAATATGTCATTAATTTACATTTATGTCAGTACATATATATGAAATTCATCTTCTAACTTAATAACAGAATACTATCTATAATATGGGTTACTCTAATTTAACTTTTGCACTATTAATGAACATTCACTGTTTCCAGATATGCTGCCATAACAATTTTGCATTAAACATTTTTAATATATACTGGTTTTACATATTATTTACATATTTTTTGTTTCTATTGGATAAATTCCTAAAACTGGGGCTGTTAGATCAAACACATGGAACATTTTAAATATTACCAGCTACTGACATTTTGCTTTCTAAAAAGGTACAGCAGTTTGCTTCCACCAGCAGTCCTGTGCCTCCCCTCTAACCCTGCTTCATTTTCTTACTTTCTAGGCATTTAAATTAAACTGACTTTTAAATCTGTCTTTTCAGAGATAATATAATAATGGCCAGAAAGCATATGAAAAGATGCCCAGCATCACTAATTATTAGGGAAATGCAAATGAAAACCACAATGAGATAGCTGCTCATTAACAAATGGCTTCCGAATTTTGTGAATTGTGTGCATTGAGCTTTATTCAGCCATCAGCTGTCTTCATCTGCTCTGTTTGAAATAGAGGTCATTTAGAATTTAACTATGTTTTTGCCTTTCGAAGATAAGAGATAGTTCATGTTTTATTGAATATTTACTTATGTGAACCTGAGATACAGTGATTCTCCACTCCAGTGATTAAAGATGTCAAGGTTGGAAGGTGAGATTTCAAATGTGTCTTATATTATACAATAAAAAATATTTAATTCCAATTCTATGTATATCCTGGAGTGCCAGCCCTATGGCAGTCTGAATGGAATAAGCAGTTAGCAAACTGTGCATGTTTCCCCCTGCAACTCACTTATGTAGATGTAGGAAAAAGTCTTTTACTACTTAAGATGTATATGCGTACCAGTGTAACGTATACATGTAAGATTGCTATCTTATTTTTCCTAGGGCTTTATAAAAAGAAAACATACATTTGCTGAACAGTATAATTTTTCACAAATGCAAAGAGAAAATGTGCTATTGTTTATCTTGGATTATAATATCTGTGGTTCGATTGTCCTGTGAAATATAGAAATGAAGAACAGTTATAGATTTTTCTTACAACCAAACACAACGTGAAACATTTAACAAGTACTTCTTTTAAACCATTCAAAGGATAAGAAAGGAAGAAAATTGTCTGTTTAGTGGTAGACAAAACCATTAAAATGCAAATATGATGTAAAGGGGAAAAAGAAAGAAAAACTAAGACAAGCACAGAGAGGGGGGGAGAGGGAGAGACAGAATATGAGAGAGATAGATACTATTTCACATCCATTAGGATAGTTATTATGAAAAAACAAACAAACAAACAACAGAAAATAATAAGTGTTGGCAAGGGTGTGGAAAAATAGGAACCCCGTATACTGTTGTGGGAATTTAAAATGGTGCAGCCACTGTGGAGAACAGTATGATGGTTCTTCAAAAAATTAAAAATACAATTACATTATGGCTGAATAATTTCACATCTGGATGTATATTCAAAAGAATTAAAAGCAGGACCTTGAGGAGATATTTGTACACTCATGTTCATATCAGCATTATTCACAATAGCTGAGCAATGGAAACAACCCACATGTTCCACCACAGATGAATGGATAAACAAAATGTGCTATGCACATACAATGGAATGTTATCCCTCCTTATAAAGGAAGGAAATTCCGACATATGCCTCAATATGGCTAAACCTTGAGGACATTATGCTAAGTGAAATAAGTCAGTCACAAAAAGACAAATACTGTATGATTTCACTTACATACGGTTTCCGAGTAGTCAAATCCATGGAAACAGAGCAGATTGGTGGTTGCCGGGGGCCAGAGAGGCAGAAATGGGGAGCTGTTTAATGAGTGTAGAGTTTCATCTTGACAAGGTGAAAAGAATCTGGATATTGGTTTTACAACGATGTTAATATACTTCACACTGTATCTATACACTTAGAAGTGGCTAAGATGCTCAGTTTTATGTTGTGTTTTTGACTACAATTAAAAAAACTATGAGAAGAAAAAAGGTTATAAAAATATGCATAATGGATACCGTTCCGTCATTGAGCTCCCGTTGTGTGATAGGCATTGGTACTTTCTGTGTATTATTTCATTTAATCTTTGTAATGACTTTTTGAACCAACGCCCGTTAGAGGAAAATGTGGCCACGCTGTTAGGAAAAGCGGAGGAGCACAGGGCACATTATTGATTTTATTGGTGGGTCCTGACACCTAGTGGTGGCTGCTACCTGTAACACAGCCCTGCGGAGCAGGCCCGTCAACGGTCAGTAGAGTGAAGTCCTCCTAGGCTTTGAGAGCTGATGGTGAGAGCTTCAGTGTGGCAAGAAATAAGCACATATAAATAATTTGAACCAGGTTTAAGGTGGTTCACATCAGCAATGACTGTGCCTTTGGAAACCAGTCATAGAAGCGCTTAACATTGAGAATATTGGAAAATTGTTCTTGAGGAGATGTTATACAGCAGTCACTTTTTTGAATATATGACCTTCATCAAACACTCTTTTTTTCTTTTTTTGATCTTCTTTACAGTGTTAGATATTTTCTTGATTTCACTTTCTTTTGCCTAGTCATTTCTGTTTCTTTTCTCCTTTGTACACCTTTCTCCTTTGCCTTGTAAAATGCCTGTAGCAACTGGCAGGCTGGAAAGGAACACGCAGCGTGAGGAATCCATTTGAGATGATTCTTCAGAGCAGTTAAATTAGCCTCAAAGGCAATTAGCTTTAAAGGCTGAATTTGCTAATTGGCAAAAGGTTTCAATCCTGCTGACTTAAGCCAGGATTGAAGATGAAAGGCCCTAAACTTATAAATTGTTTGAAAGCTGGGGAGTCTCACTGTGTTTTTTATTTGTTTTTTTTTTTTTTACAGTGTTCATGTCTTTTAGTACATTTCAAAGAGTAGTGAACACAATCAGAAGGTTTTTGTTTAATTTACCATAATAGGAATGGGGTTCCCAAGGTTGGTGCATGTGCCCTCCCCAGGGTTGTGAACACAATCAGACTCTCCTGTTCTCTCCAGGCACTTGGCAGACAGGAACGCTGAGGCGGAGAGAGTGAACAGAATGAACCAGAGCTTACAGGAGGACTGGGAACGGAGCGCTGAAATGAAGAGGCAGCGGGCCCTGCAGGAGAAGGCTTTCGATCGGTAATACCTGATTTGAACCAGAAGTTCTTGGTTTGCAAAGAAAATCCCCTCCGCTCCTCGTTACTTTCCTCTAATCATGGGATGGCAAGTAGGTTTCAAGTGCCAACTCCAGCTGCTCGGCAGCAGCTGCCTAGAGAACTCTGTGGAGAAAAGAATCCTGGGTTCAGCGAGAAAAACTGCTCCGGTGCATTAGAAATGTCTGCTATGAATATGGGATTGCAGAATATTGCGCTGCAGGCTGTATAGTTGCCATCTCTGCCCTAATCCTTGCTCTGCATAGGGTGGCTTTATTTTCCTTTTTTGTGCAGGGT